CACCAGTCTCAAAACCATTGTCTTGCTCGCCTTGGAATTCTATTGGTGCTACTAAGCACGAACTTGGAGCCTGACAATATATTTGTCAGTAGCCAGTTTGGAAAGTGGCTACTTGCGCTTTCTTTCCCTCTTAGAGGTCTGGTCTTTCTCTCAGTTGATTTTAATGTCATTAGAGAACATCTTAGCTAAAGAGTGTGTCAGGTCTTGTGCATGTCCCTTACCACAATGGTATTCTGCCGTTCCATTCCATTCTGTCTGTTGCATTCAGTAAAGGCATTCTAACTTCTGACTATTTCAGTATCTGCTCAGATCTCAACATTATTCCTATTCACAGTTGGTGAAATCTAAGAGCAATCCAAGGGGCACAGGAAATGGCACAAGTGGCTATTGTAATGCCTGCTTGGTCAGTCCCCCTTCCTGAAAGTCGTCCCTCCATCCCTCCTATTTGGAGTATCAGCTGAGATACTAGTACTGTTATCTGGCATAGCAGAGTGTAAGCTTTGGCCCAGGGCTAGGCCTTATTCTTATTTCAACATCTTCCCATCCTTCTTGCATCTGGGATATATATATAGGATATATATATATATAGGTGGTACTGGGGTTTGAACTCAGGGGCTCACACTTGGCTAGGCAGGCACTCTACCCCTTGAGCCACACCACCAGGCCTCCCTTCTTGGTTCTGATGCGATCTTTGATTAGATGGATCATGCTTCCTACACTTGTGACTTATTCACCTCTGTCATGGCTATGATACGCTCCCTGACACATATTTTAATACAGGAGTTAGGGGGGAAAGTACACAGGCTACACAGATGAACAGGTGTACAATTTGAGAAGGATGAATAAATCTCTTCCTACCTGACTCTACCTCAGGGCATGAAGTACTATATAAGCATGCATCCTTTTCATGTCAAAGGGTTTGAGATCCTTAAATTTTTTTCTATTAAAACATGAAGACCACAGAAAATTCTTTTCCTTCTATCTGTGTTCATAGACTATTATGAATAATCCTAAAGCTAAGAAGGCAAAAAGCTAAAAGACCCATTTATCCTTAAGTTTTATTTATCCTATTTACTGCCAAAGACCCATTTATCCTTAAGTTTTCATTATTCTCTAAGGCCAGCTGCAGATGCAATGAACTGCAGGGTGGCGGGTTCGTGCCACAACACTGGAGCATAGGGAGAAATCTGTGGGTGACTGAGTCTCAAGTAAAAATTCTTAGGTATACCGTAGATACTGTTATTTGAGAATGAGACAATTTTTGCAATGTAGGATTTTTCAGATGGAAGGGAAAATAGGAGTTTGCTACCCCTGTTAGTGGAGAAAGAAGACACGGTTAAGCCATTTGGCGAAAGTCAGTGGTCATTCTGGGAGCTGGATGCTTCACCTCTTAAGCTAATGGTACTCATTGCTCCAAGTCAGTGCCTTTGGAGTAAGGAAACCAGGTGATACAGAAGGCTTCAAGCTAGGATTCCTTAAACTGGTGGTATGTGAGCCCATTTCAAGGAGTAAAGTGGGACAGGAAGGGAATATATTTAAGAATACAGGAAGGGAGTAGCTTTAAGGGAATACATTTCTAGAGCTCTAACTTCCATATGTACTCTTCTGAAGATATACTTCCTTCCCTCCCTCCCTCCCTCCCTTTTTTTCCTCCTTCCCTCCCTCCCTCCATCTTCCCTCCCTCTCTCCCTTTCTCTCTCTCTCTCTTTTCTTGTGGTGCTGGAGATGAAATCCAGAGCCTTAAGCATGCTAAGCAAGTGCTTTACCACTGAGTTACATCTCCAACTCTTACTTTTAGTGATCACTTATTAAAGCACTTAATGTTTTTGTTGATTTGTTGAACAGCAAACTAATAAAACCTGTAACAACTTAGTATAGGAGAAACTCTGTAGGATAAACTGCACAGGTATTAGAATGAAAACATAAGTTTAAGGAGAAAAGAGAATGATGCAAAATTTCCAAACTGTAAAAGTCTGTTTGTACAGTTTTAAAAAGAGTAAGAGTAGGTATCAAATTACTAAATTACTGTAAAGCTTTTACATTAGTTTTAAAAACAAATGTAAAATTTTTATTTTAAAACATCAAATTGGTAATACAGTGAAATTTAACAGAGGAACTCATGGACAAACTGAGGAACTCATGTTCAAAATGTCAGCCATTACTCAGCTCTAATCAAGCAGTGCTTCAATAACTTTATTGTTCAATTTTTCTAGAAAGTATACATTTTTATGGGATATCTCTATACTTTTAATATTGGCTCACAAAATGTTGAAATGCTATGAGGGACAAATAAAACACTTTGGCCAAATCTGACCTATAGGTCAATAATAAATTCTGCTGCAGAGGGAATAGCATGTTGGCTGCTCCTTTATTTTGATCACAGCCTGTGATCTGCGGGTGGTGCCTGATGATTATGGGGCCCTTTCTAAAAATAGAAGAACCAGTGTTAGAGATTGTTATTTTGATTCTTTAAAGTATTTATTTCCTAATGAGTTTAGGGAACTCTAAGGAATGCTAAACTAAATCTATAAGTAAGCAAGTCATTCCATGCATTCCTGAACCAAATGAATTTAATACTTGTTATATATTATAGCTCATAGGTCTAATTTAATTATGCTCCAAGAACTGGCTTTATGCTTCCAGGATTAGAACCTCAACAACAGTGTATGTACCTGAGCATGGTATGTAATCTGAAAGCCCCTTTTCAGTCCCAACTCTACTCAGTGTTTTATGGTGCCAACCATTCCCTCCTTCCTAAAACTCTCTTCCTTCTTTAGTGTTCTTTCTGATCTTGCTAGACTTTCTCTGTAGGACCCTCTTCTATTCCCTCTGTAATATAATCATTATCTAAGATGTTGTTTTTGTTTCCTTTTCCTTCATTCCCGCTTCTGCCCTCCCTTTTATCTCTACTCTATTTCCTTTCTTCTCTCCTCCTTCTTTCCTCCCAGGTCAAATTTATTCATCCCCATAGACACAGATATAATCTCTTCACTGATGCATTTCAAATGCTAAGATCCAAGCCATTCAGGAACCATCAAGCCTAACGTCCAAGTCTGAGCTCATCAGTTTTCCCTGCAAATAAACAAATGTTCTGCATATAATTCTGTAAGTCATCCAGGTGAGAAGCAGCAGCTTTTGCTGACTGTCCTCTCAGTTCTTCCTCAATATCCCTCTTGTGTTCTTCTCATTTATGTTTCCTGACATTTGAGGTCTTAACCTCACTCCCCTGGACCATTGTAATATCCTCCCAGCCTCAAAAACAAATAGGAATTTGCCATGCCTCCCCTCAAAAGCCTCCATGGCCCACTATTTTCTGTAAAAATCCCACCTCTTACTGTGACTACTGAAAAGCATTTTAAAATTGTGCAAAATAGTAGCAAGTGTTGTGCTTGCTAAATGAATCTATCACTTAATCTGTTCCAGAAACACCAGAATAAATTAAGTAAAATGGTAATCTTTTAGAGCTGTTAAACTAGGAATATGAACTGTGAATATTTAGTTTCCCAAATATAATTGGCCAGGGGATTCTCCTATAGAGGCAAGGGTACGAATAGCTCAAGGAAAGTGTTTGTTGAAACCCAAGTGGGGATCTACAGTGGGTTCCTGTCCTCTCCAAACAGGCCACAATGCTCAGCCTTTGGGCTTTGGCTAACTTTGTTCCCTTGATTGCAGTTCCCTTCCTCCATTCGTTATGTGCTCAAAACCTATACGTTCTTCAGTTGAGAAAGTTTCCCCACTGATCAACTCAATAATTTATAAAGATCTCCATTATGTATTTTATTTTTCCTAGGCAGGTGCTCTACCACTTGAGCCACTCCACCAGCCCTGTATTTTATTTTTCCTTAAGAAATATTTGTGTGAAGGGAGGGGTGAGGATAGGTAAGACACCTAAAAAACTAGCTAGCATTTGTTGCCCTTAATGCAGAGAAACTAAAGCAGATACCTTAAAGCAACTGAGGCCAATAGGAAAAGGGGAACAGGTACTAGAGAAAAGGTTAGATCAAAAAGAATTAACCTAGAAGGTAACACCCACGCACAGGAAATCAATGTGAGTCAATGCCCTGTATAGCTATCCTTATCTCAACCAGCAAAAACCCTTGTTCCTTCCTATTATTGCTTATACTCTCTCTACAACAAAATTAGAAATAAGGGCAAAATAGTTTCTGCTGGGTATTGAGGGGGGGAGAGGAAGGGGGCGGAGTGGGTGGTAAGGGAGGGGGTGGGGGCAGGGGGGAGAAATGAACCAAGCCTTGTATGCACATATGAATAATAAAAGAAAAATGAAAAAAAAAAAAAAACTAAAAAAAAAAAAAAAGAAATATTTGTGTGAATGTTGAGTCTACCTGCCATCCCCATGTTTCATGTTTTCATTCATCTAATCATTCATTATTCAGCGTTTCTACTACAGGTTTATTAACATCAAGCACCAACGTGAATATAGGGTCAAGTTCATATATGTGTGTGTGTGTGTGTGTGTGTGTGTTTGTGTGTGTGTGTGTGTGAAAGAGAGAGAGAGAGAGAGAGAGAGAGAAGCAACAATGAAATACTGAATATAATGGAATGTTAGAAACTATAGAACTATACAATGCTCATTATGCTACATTTGAAAGCTTCTGCTTAAAAAATATTCCTTAAGAAGGTCTCTGGCAGATCAGTTCCAATACTCCCTCAGCTCCCTTCCAACTGTCTTATACTGGAATTAACAGTAATGACATAATAGTAACTTAGTGTTCTAGCAATATTCCAGGATGGAGATGTTTACATTTAGAGTATGATGTTTTCTTCCTTAAAAGCAAATTGTAAATTATTTTTAGATTATATTATATTTGATGTCAAGAACAAAATATCCTAGAGTTTGGCTGGGATTAGGAATAGGTCATGAGAATCAAGGTGTACAAAGGGTAACTGATGGTACTTTAGCAACTTCATGGGAAGAAGATATAAACTATAGCACAGCCAGAGAGCCTACTTCTAGTGTTGTTTGTGGGTTTCATACACACCAGTTTTTAATGCAAATATCAAGTCATCAAACTCCTGGGACTCTTCATCAGCTATCAGTGACCCCTGGCCATGTCCTCTGGAAGAAGGGAATGAGGCACCATTTTGTGGACTTGTCTTTAAATCAGGGCTGGCCTGACTGGCTTGTTGGAAGGATACTCTCTCCCAGTCCAGTGGTACCTTTTTGAGATGGATGGGAGAAAGGAAACCATAATGTTAGTGTTCACACATTTACTTTGAAACCCGTATTAAACCAAATTATTTTCATGTTTCATTACAAAGACCTTGTGAAAGAGCTATTGAATTAAGGGCTTCATTTTAAGTGAAGAACTTTAATCTTTGTTCTTTAGAAAATTATGTCTCTCATTGGACCAATCTAATCTGGTGATTTAAATTTCTGTATTAGAATTACATGGTGTCATGTGTGCAGAAAGAAAACTTTTTAATAATCCAATAAACATATTTTAATTTTTTGTAAAATGTGTGCAAAGAAAACTCTGTTAAAAATGTAAGAACAGGAGAACACTCCTAATCCTTAATCTAAAATAGCACATTTTACAGACTAAGTATCTAAAGGACTTATTTAAAGGAATTAAAAAAGAAAGCTCTTTCATAGAATTCTAAGTACCTCTATTCTTGATGAAATGATTAGAAGGATAGTTATATCTTGAAGTGATTAAATGTATTCATTTCCATCTAGTTTACTGGTAAACAACCCCTTGATCCTTCTTTTCCTTTTTAGAATGTGGCTTTTTAGAATGTCTTTGACAGTCTCTCACTGACAGCTGGATCGAGGCCAATTCTAAGCCTTGAGGAATGCAGAGCACACTTTAAGCTATGCCGTTGTACAATCCCCCAAGTGAATACTCAAGCAGTGGCTTGGCCAGAAACTGGATGATCACAGCTGTTTTGTGAGAGATGCAGGGACACTTTATACTGAAAAAAGTGACCTGAGGCTTTTAGAAATACTTGAGGGGAGAAGATAAAAACTTTAAAGATAAATTTTGCAAAGAAGGTGAACATCTAGACCAGCACTGTTAGTATAACACTCAGAAGACAGAAATATTTTATACCTGTGTTCTCCAATATGGCAGTTACTGCACATATACAGCTTGTTGAGTACTTAAAATATGGCCTTAATGTTATTTATTTTTAATTACTTTAAATTTTAAAAAAACATACAAAGTCACAAATAGCCTTTTACTAGCTAAAGAATATTGCATTGGACAGATCAGATCTATACAAATGTTGATTGGTAGCCATCAAAAATTGTTTCTTAAAAGATTCATCTCTGATCCATGTATATTAAAAAAAAAATCCCTGTTCTTGCTGGTATTAATTGTATAAAATAATACAGTTTTAAGAACCTTGGGGGATTTAGAAATGGTACTAGATTTCAAAATATTTAAAAATAGTAAAGACATATCTCAATTTTTAAATATTCTACTTGAACTTATTTATCTTACAAATAAAATTTGTGCCTTTTGACCAAAATCCCCATATTTCTCCTATCTTCCAGCTCCTGTTGACACCTTTCTGCTATTTACCTGCTACTATTTGATAGTTTTTTATATTAAATTTTCTCTATTAAAATACATATATGTGTGTGTGTATGTATATATATATACTCAATTACCTTAATTTAACTTGGCATGAATAAAATTATTTTGTACATTGCCATAGAGGACAAAAAAAATCTCTGTGTAGGCAGATCTATCTATTTATCATCTATCTATCTTTCTAGGTACCTATCAATAAACTGCTTCCTTTTCAGACAAATGTACCTGTCATTTTTAGTACAAAAACACAAACACTGTTTGCTTGGCTGTGTCAGGACCGGCAGCCAAGCACCCTGCAGAGTTGTCAGGAATGAGCATCGCGGTCTCTTCTAGCCAGATGTATTCAGGTGTGTTTTAAGATCTGAGCAGTGGTCTGCCAAGCTTTGGGCAGTATTTCTGACAGGCTGGTGGCAATGTAGTCTAGACACAGGAAATCAAACTGATGTGGACAGAGTGCAGAAAGCAGTGGGAGGTAAGATGTTACAAAGGAAATCCCAGCTAGATTTTCCAGTAGTGCCACAAAAGCACTCTTCTGAGCTTTTGTTCTAAAATATTTTCTGACATGTAAGAAATCTCAACTTATTTTCTTTTCATTGACTTGGGGGTTAAAATAGTGTGTTGAAATGGGTAAGGAAAAGAGCCATAAAAGTGTTTTTAGGTAGAATCGTATATTGAAAACCTGCTATATCTGACTTTCTAGTACAAGTTGCTGCTTGGGGTACTCACCAGGCAGTGAGAAAAAGAATTAGTTAGTAGGTATGGTATTACAGTGAGAAAAGGTTTCAAAAATCACCTAGTATCATTTATCTTTTTTTGTGGGGGTGGGAGGACTAGGGTTTGAAATCAGGGCTTCATGCTTGCAAGGCAGGTACTTTGCTGCTGTAGCCACACCTCCAGTCCATTTTGCTCTGGTCATTTTAGAGATGGAGTCTTGAGAACTATTTGCCTGGGCTGGCCTTGAACTGCGATCCTCCCCATCTCTGCCTCCTAAGTAGCTAGGATTAGAGATGAGAAAAGCTGGTGCCTGCTTATTTTATACTCTTTATGAAGTGGAGAGATGGGAAGGAGGGAGGAAGGAGGGAGAGAGAGAGAGAGAATGAGTATACCTCTTCCATAGCACTGATAAGATTCTGGGTGGACTTGCTGATTTCCCCTCCAGCAGGAGGCATTCCACTCCCAGGCGTGAAGAAGGCTGTGCTGGGTCCTGGATGGCCATTCATTTCCACAGTGTAGCTGGCCTTCATAGGGCAACACATTTGGTTGTGTAAAATGAAATAAACCACAAAAACATAAAGTCCCTGAAAGAGAGAACCAATACTGTGTCAGAGGCAGCCCAGCCACCACAGCTGAAGAAGAAACTTGGTTATAAAATTAGCTGATCTATAAGTGTTCTCCAGATTCTACTGAAAGTTGAGAATTACAGAACATGCCAGCAGTCTAGCAAGAGGCCATGGAAAATTTCAAGTGTTATGAAAAACTCCAGTAATGTTATTTAGGAAAACTGACCTCTTGCTTAATAAAGCAGTTTTTTCTTGACAAAAAAAAAAAAAAGACATAAGTAACTGAATTTAGCCCTACTAATAAACTGAAGCAGAAGGGTAGAAGTTTAGCTGATTAACTGTACATTTTGTTAGAGAAATCAAACCTCTTGCCTTCAAAAACAACAACGAACCCCCCAAAATACCATCTTTTCCTGTATATCCTCTTATTTTTATTTTTTTCTTAGCAAAGTGGGGGTACTAATGCTCCATTCACATTGTAGACACATAGACAATCTTATCATGCCTCCTAATGTCTTTTGTGTATCTCACCAACTTAATATAATTTGGAAATAAAATCACTTGGTAGGAACTCCAAGGAATTCTACTTAATAGTTAGCATGCCATGCTTCTCAGCAAATGTTGCAGAAGAACAATAAAGCCATCCTGTACTCCTCCAAGAGCTCCTGACCCTTTAAATTCTTTTGCAACAGTCAAACTCTTGACAATTACTCTGCTTTCATCACAGACAGCGACTCACATTTCGAGTTTGTGTTCTAAACATTCCCCCACACTAGCTCCCCTTCACGATTTCTACAAGGGATCCACTGTATGCTTGTAATGGTGCTTCTATAAAGCTTGGTAATTTTGACCTTTATACTCAGCCAATAAAATATGTTATATTGTGCCTTTTGTATCTGTTCGTCCTGGCCATTAAATTTTGGATGCAAATAAGAATCTTCTTTGTTACTAAAGTTTTTAATTAATCCACAAAAATAAAATCAAGACATTCAGTTAATTAAACAATAAAAGCAATTAACATCAAGGCTTTTTTCTTTTTTTTTTTTGGAAACATGAGTAGTATGTTCATTTTGTGAAAATTGCAGTCTCCTGTGGTCCCTAATATTTCTGAGTGTAGAAACAATAGTACACTTGTGAGCCTGAAACTTTATAATCTATGGGTGTAACGAGTAAAACGTGTATTAGAAAACACCTGGGGCCTAAGAATTACAAGTGATTTTTATATAAAATGATGGTAGAGGACCATCTGTAAGATTATGCACTCTAGCATCTGATCTCTGCTGCCATTTCTGGAATACTGGAATAATTTAAGCTTTTCTCCTCTTCCTATTTGAACGATCCCTTCTCAGGTTGGCTTCTAGTCTATATAGTTTAAAAATATGTTTAAAATCAGTGATACATGTTAAAATATTTAAAAAGTAATTGCTTTAATCACCATGTAAAACAGAAGTATTTACTTCCCTTTGAGTTAGGGTTATCTATTCTTTTAGAGATAACATTCCTATTCTAAATTAGTTAGTGAATTAGTTTCATATGCAATTGATACTGTGAGCATTACCAGAAACAAATCTTCCTGAAAACACTCATACACATCCAAAATTTTTCTTGCACAGCTAACTTTTTACATGGCTATGACCTAATTACATTGGCCACAGCAATAGACAAAACAGGAAAAAATTAAACTGTCAGCATTAAAAATTGTACAAATGTTACTGATTTATTTCAGGATTTTTCTAAGTGTTGTGAAGTGATAAGGTAAAAGCTGGAGCAGGAAACAAAACCCATGCTTGAAAACCCATCTCTAAGGACCCATTTGTTAAAACTGTGTATTCTCTCTTCTTTGTTTTCATATCTAGCTTTTTGTGCTTCAGGAAGGGAACTGCCTGCTGAAAATAACTTGCATGTAAAACAGCAAGGGTTTTTTTTTTTTTTCCCTCCCTTAAAAGCATAGTGATATACAGTAAGTATTTTGAAACTTTTCAACGTGCCCCAGGAAACACAAACACAGTTAAAATGAGAAGGGAAGAATGTTAAATGCAGATTGTATGACATTTGCCTGTGTCCAGACCAATCTGGGCAAATATAGAAAAGAGACCTTCGTTATCCAAAGTACTCAGCTGTGGAGGTTTCTGACCTCAGAGTAAAAACAAATTCCCATTCCAAATACTGCAGGTTGTCTCTGTATGCTGATCTGGAAAGGAATTTTAAGACAGAATCTAGATTCTCAGGGATTCAAATGAATACTGCTAAATCGCCCACTGTGTGCATTGCCATGCACTGAGATGCAGGGATAAAACATTGGGTCCCACTCTCAAATTGCTCACAAATACAATAATACCCAGCAAATAGCAGGATAACTCTGCAGATATAATCAATCTGTGCTTTGTATCTTTTACCAAGTGTGGACTTATGGGGAAGAGGATTCTTCCTGTGCATTGCTGTTCTGGTTATTTTCTTGGTACTCCTACTCTACAATCATGAAAAAATGCTTCTGAAAGTCTTCAGTTAGGCTGATCTGGTTTGAACACATCCACTATGACCCATTCTGTGTATCTTTTGATTCAGGAACTTAAGCTTATTAGCAGTGAGACACAAACGAAATCACAATAGTATAAAGGATTATAAAAGCTCTTAATGTTATTAAGGAGCAAAATAAATACAGGAGATTTTAGCTGCTACCTCAATAATTTCTAATGGCTCCATATTACCATTTCACAAATTTACAAGAAGTGGTGGCGGGGAGACGTGGGAAGAACAGGAAGGTGATTCAGTTGGGTTTTACATTCTTCCAAGATCTTTTTACAAGTTCTCCAAGGCTTAAGGGCGCCTAGTTGAGGGACACTTTGGGTTTCAAATGAGTTTTCTTTCCTTCTTTCTTCTTTTTTTGCTTATTACCATATTATAATTGTACTGGGGGTACATTATGATATTTACAAAAGTGCTTACAGTATATATTAGTTAGATCTACCCTCTTCAGATGAGTTTTCCAAATCAATGCAAAGCCTGACACTTCCCTTCCATCAGAGATAATTCAGAGTAAGGCACACAGAGGAATGAATACTCCATTAGAATTGGGCTTTCTTTAGCTCAAAATTACAAATTTGGAATTAAAAAGAGAGAGAGAGAGTAATTTGTATTAAAATGCAAACTCCTAGAAAGTAAGAGGCCATGTCCATTTCCTGTTTTATGTATAGATATATAATTTACTTGTTTGTTTATAGTATGGTCTCTGGTGTACAGGGGGAGCTTAAGAAATATTTGCTAACTAAGAGACTATGGTTTTAAAATGTCATCAGTGGGTGGGAAAGAGTAGGAAGGGGTAGAGACAGATATGGATCTAGGCATGTGTTGGTTTTGGTCCTATAGTTCTTTTGAAACAATAGCTATGTGATTCAAGTGTTGCTCAATACAACTTTTTTTCCAGTTCAGTCTTTCTGTCTCACTTGTCACATGTGCCAGGACTCTTTTCATGGGAAAATGAAGTGTCTAGTCCTAGCTCCTTGGGTGCTATCTCTCTGAAGTTGGGCTGCTTTGTGCTGAGCCCTCATGTGACTTCCTGGCCTCTCTAACTCTTCTGCTGGGGCTGGGTTTGCATACTGCTGTTCCTCCTTCCTGTGGTTCTTTCTCTAAAAGAGCTTCTGCTTCTGCTCTCCCCTGGACAGACACTCTAGTGCCTTGATTCCTTGTCTTTGGCTTCAAGCTATGCCTGACTGCTGACCTGCCACAGTTTTGCATCACCATTGACTTAGCAGCAAAGATGATGGATTTATGACAATGACAGAATTAAAGAGGCAAATACAGTATTTCTGCACATGTCTATTTTTAAGAGAAGTAGGAATTTCATCTTTAATGGCTTCATTTTTTAAACAGTGTAATCTGTGCATTAGATACAACAAGAAAGGGAACTAGTGAGTTTGTCCTGAGAGCTGTTGCTTAGTGAGCACACATGAAATACTTAAAAATTTATGGGAACAGTTAGTTACTACTCAAGTGATTTAAAGATACTTGAATGGGATAAATAATTACCTCATATTCACTGTAGGTTATGTCAAGTTCCGTATAATTCTTTATTAATTTAAGGGACCTTATCTATTCAGAATTAGTAGAGTGCAAAAGAAGTCTCTGGTTTCAGATATGTCTATGACTAAATATCTAGGTAGCATCAGGCCTTCACTTTTTAGGTTTTGATAGATTTCTATTCTATACTGTGCAATTCCTATGAACAAAAGCTCTATAGTTATTTAACATAAATACCCAGTATACAGATAGCATTTTCTTCCTTTTGTAAAACCAAAGTTTCTATCTGTAATTTAAGAGTATATTTCTCTGTGTGTCACTTAGGGACATGAGAAGCATTTGATCAGAGCTCTCATTGTTAGAAATATTCATGAATCAAACCACAATTATAGGTTGTGCTGCAGTAATCTCATCTCCAGGTGAAATAATCCCTGTTCTGCAGCCTTTCCTTTCAAGTCTGGTTTTATAGTGTTTTGTCTCCGAGATCTCAATGTTTTCATGTTTCTGTGAAGTTTCAGAGCACAGAGCACTGATCAGTTGTGATGCTACTTATCAGGAGCCAGATTTTGTCTGACAAAGAAGAAGAAACTGCAAATTAAGTTTTCTTAAAGTCACAAGAATACCAACTCCTGATGCCACACACCCCTGCTTTGAGAGTTCCTGGATTAGAAAACTTTCCAAAGTACAAATCAAGCTGGGTGGTAGGACTGAGAGGGTGGGGAAGATTGGAGGTAGTCAAACAGTACTGAGGTGGGACTAAAGAATATAGTAGAGGTTTGGAATTTCAGAAGAATTTTTAAAGTTTTATTTATAAAAAAGGAGAAAAGAATTGAATAGGTGTGAGTTTTGAGAATATTTTTTATTTAAACCTAAAATGCCAAAATTTACTGAGATTATTTAAGTCTTGTTATAAGTACCTTTTTTCTTGATGCTTATTAACTATAGAAATTAGTGGGTTTCACTGTGACATTTCCATACATGTACTGTGCACTGTTCATGTC